CACACAAAACACACAAAACACAAAAAAACACACAAAACACAAAACACAACAACACACAAAACACACAAAACACACAAAACACACAAAACACACAAACACAAAAAAACACAAAAACACAAAACACAAAACACACAAAACACAAACACACAAACACACAAAACACACAAAACACACAAAAACACAAACACACAAAACACTCAAAACACTCAAACACACCAAAACACACAAAACACACACAAAAACACACTCAAAACACTCAAACACACAAACACACAAACACACAAAACACAAAAACACACAAAACACACAAAAACACACAAACACAAAACACACAAAACACACAAAACACACAAAAACACACAAAACACACACAAAACACACGAAACACACGAAACACACAAAACACAAAACACTCAAAACACTCAAAACACTCAAAACACACAAAACACACAAAACACTCAAAACACTCAAAACACACAAAACACACAAACACGAAACACACAAAACACACAAAACACACAAAACACACAAAACACAAAAACACTCAAAACACACAAAACACACAAAACACAAAACACTCAAAACACACAAAACACACAAAACACTCAAAACACTCAAAACACTCAAAACACACAAAACACAAAACACACAAAACACACAAAAAACACAAAACACAAAACACACAAAACACACAAAACACACAAAAACACACAAAACACTCAAAACACACAAAACACAAAAACACACAAAAACACACAAAACAACACACAAACACCAAAACACACAAAAACACAAAAACACACAAAAAACACAAAAACACAAAACACACAAAACACACAAAAACACAAAACACACAAAACACACAAAACACTCAAAACACACAAAACACACAAAACACAAAACACACAAAACACTAAACACACAAAACACAAAACACACAAAACACTCAAACACACGAAACACACGAAACACAAACACAAAACACACAAAACACGAAACACACGAACACACGAAAACACACAAACACACAAAACACACAAAACACACAAAACACACAAAACACACAAAACACACAAAACACACAAAACACACAAAAATAAGAAAATAAAAAATCAACAGTTTTCTTCATTATTTGTCTCCAAAACCAAAATGAAAAAACTGATTATGATTCGTTTTTTCAGTTTTTGTGTTTAAATGAAAAATGGAAAAAACAGATAACGACTGTTTCCTGTTTACGTGACTTCAGTGACTGAACCAGGACTGATCCAGGTCCAGGACCAGACCAGGACCAGAGACCAGACGAGACCACCAGACCAGACCGGGACCAGACCAGGACCAGGACCAGGACCAGACCAGGACCAGACCAGACCAGACCAGACCAGACCAGACCAGACCGAGACCAGGACCAGACCAGGACCAGAGACCAGGCCGGACCAGACCAGGACCAGACCGACCAGACCAGACCAGACCAGACCGAGACCAGACCGGACCAGACCGAGACCAGACCCGAGACACCAGACCGGACCAGAGCAGACCAGGACCCGGGACCAGACCAGGACCAGACCAGACCAGACCAGACCAGGCCAGACCAGACCAGACCGAGACCAGACCGGACCAAACCGGGACCAGACCGGGACCAGACTGAGACCAGACCGGGACCAGACCGGGACCAGATCGGGACCAGACCAGACCAGGACCAGGACCAGACCAGACCAGACCAGACTGAGACTCCGAGCTTTGACTCTGAGCCTCAGCTTCGAGTTCTGGTCTGCTGTGGACTCTGAGCCTCCGGTCTGGTCTCGGTCTGGTCGGTCTCTGTCGTGCTCTGGTCTGGTCTCGGTCTGTCTCAGGTCTGGTCTCGGTTCTGGTCTCGTCTGGTCTCATGTCTCCTGGTGATGAAACAAACACAGTTCCTGGTCTGATTGTGGATGATGATTTAAACCTTCAGGACGATCGTCCTGTTTAGTTGTTTGTCTTTGTGGTAAATTCACTCTGTGATTCCCTCTGAAAATCGTCCTCATGTCCTGCTGCTCCTCATGTCTCCTCGTTCCTCGTTCCTCAGTCTCGTCTCCTCCTCATCTCCTCGTGTCCTGTCCTCCTCTCCTCGTTCCTCGTCTCCTCCTCTCCTCATGTCCTCGTGTCCTCGTCTCCTCGTTCCTCGTGTCTCTCAGTCTCTCCTCGTTCTCCTCGTGTCCTCGTTCCTCATGTCCTCGTCTCCTCATGTCTCCTCATGTCCTCGTGTCCTGTGTCGTCTGTCCTCGTGTCCTCATGTCTCGTCTCCTCATGTCCTCGTGTCCTCATGTCTCCTGTCCTCGTGTCCTCGTGTCTCATGTCCTCGTGTCCTCTCATGTCTCTCGTCTCCTCAGTCCTCGTGTCCTCGTGTCCTCGTCTCCTCGTCTCCTCATGTCCTCGTCTCCTCATGTCCTCGTCTCCTCATGTCCTCGTGTCTCCTCATTCCTCGTTCCTCGTCTCCTCGTCTCCTCATGTCCCCTCATCTCCTCGTCCTCGTGTCCTCATGTCCTCGTCTCCTCATGTCCTCGTGTCCTCGTCCTCCTCGTCCTCGTCCTCGTCTCTTCTCCTCTCCTCGTCTCCTCGTCTCTCTCCTCGTTGTCCTCTCCTCATGTCCTCGTCCCTCGTGTCTCTCCTCTCTCCTCGTCTCCTCGTCTGTCCCTCGTTCCTCGTGTCCTCGTCTCTCTCCTCGTCCTCGTCCTCGTCTCCTCGTCTCCTCGTCTCCTCGTGTCTCTCCTCGTCTCATGTCCTCGTCCTCCTCTCCTCGTCTGTCCTCGTCTCTCTCTCCTCCGTGTCCTCGTTCCTCGTTGTCCTCTGTCCTCTGTGTCCTCGTCTCCTCATGTCCTCGTCTCCTCGTCTCCTCGTGTCCTCATGTCCTCGTCTCCTCGTGTCCTCGTCGTCCTCATGTCCTCGTGTCCTCGTCTCCTCGTCTCCTCGTGTCCTCGTTCTCGTCGTCCTCTGTCTGTCCTCATCCTCGTCTCCTCGTCTCCTCGTCCCCTCGTCTCCTCGTGTCTCCTCTTCTCCTCGTCTTCCTCGTCTCCTCTCTCCTCGTGTCCTCTCGCCTCTCTCCTCGTCTCCTCGTCTCCTCGTCTCCTCGTCTCCTCGTCTCCTGGTTTATTTTAAATGTGGGGTAAAAAAAGTCCCATTGAAAATAAACGTTCCATTTTTGGATCAGACGTTTCGGACTCTTTCATGTGAGACGCTGGAGCAGATGTTTGTTCTTCTGCCTCAGAGACGACGACCCCAGGACTCTTCCTCCTCTTCCTCCTATTCTCCTCTCGTCCTCTGCTCCTCCTTTATCTCCTTTATCTCCTCTACCTCCTCTGCTCCTCCTCCTCATCCTCCTCTATCTCAGGTCCAAACCAGGACTAAATCAGGTCCAAACCAGATCTAAAACAGGTCCAAACCAGAACTAAAACAGGTCTAAAACAGGTCTAAAACAGGTCTAAAAACAGGTCTAAATCCAGGTCTAAACCAGGACTAAATCTAGGACTAAAATAGGTCCAAACCGGGTCCAAACCAGATCTAAAACAGGTCCAAACCAGAACTAAACCAGGTCTAAAACAGGTCTAAAACAGGTCTAAATCTAGGACTAAACCAGGTCTAAAACAGGACTATTCCAGGTCTAAATCCAGGTCTAAATCTAAGTCTAAACCAGGTCTAAATCTAGGACTAAACTGGGTCCAAACCAGGTCTAAAACGGGTCTAAACCAGGTCTAAATATAGGACTAAACCAGGTCTAAAACAGGGCTATTCCAGGTCTAAATCTAAGTCTAAACCAGGTCTAAATCTAGGACTAAACCGGTCCAAAAGATCTAAACCAGGTCTAAACTCACCAGGTCTAAATCTAGGATCTAAACCAGGTCTAAACCAGGTCCAAACCAGGTCTAAATCTAGGACTATTCCAGGTGTAAATCTAGGACTAAACCAGGTCTAAAACAGGACTAAACCAACTAAACCAGGTAAACCAGGACTAAACCAGGTCTAAAACAGGACTAAACCAGATCTAAAACTAGGACTAAACCAGGTCCAAACCAGGTCTAAACCAGGTCTATAACAGGATTAAACCAGGTCTACACCAGGTCTAAACCAGGACTATAAAAGGACTATTTGAGGTCTAATCCAGGTCTTCAGTGTCTTGCCCAAGGACACAACAACAGCATTCATCTGTGGGAGCGGGATTTGAACCATCAACCTTCAGATCATTGAACAAACTCAGTCCACAGACGTTTTGGTGCAGATCAGAAAGAATTAATTTTCTCTAAAACGTGTCGATAAAAAAAAATAAAAATCTAATGTTTTAATACTGAAGCAGGTGAATCGGCTTCTGTGATTGGCCGAAACTCCAGTGTCGCCCCGCCCCTTTTTGAATGACACCGACGGGAGCCAATCAGATGAGCCGAGTGCCCTGCGCTGGACGCCGGGGTTTTTCTCTGATCAGGTTCAGTTTGTTTGAAGTTTCACAGGAAATCCTCTTTACTCCAAAATCAGACACAAGGACACGAGCCAGACACACTGAGTCTGAACCAGGACCAAACCAGGATCAAACCAGGACTGAACCAGGACTAAAACAGGTCTGAACCAGGACTAAAACAGGACTGAACCAGGACTAATACAGGACTGAACCAGGACTAAAACAGGTCTGAACCAGGACTAACACAGGTCTGAAACAGGACTAAAACCAGGTAAAATGAACTAGGACTAAAACAGGACTAAAACAGGATTAAAACAGGACCAAAACAGGTCTCAACCAGGACTAAACCAGGTCTGAACCAGGACTAAAGCAGGTTCGAACCAGGACTAAACCACGACTAAACCAGGACTAGACCAGGACCAAACCAGGTTAAACCAGGTCTAAAACAGGACTAAACTTAGTCTGAACCAGGACTAAAACAGGACTAAAACCAGGACTAAACCAGGATTAAACCAGGACTGAACCAGGACTGAACCAGGACTAAAGCAGCTCTGAGTCCAGACTGCAGCAGGAGCACATGGACCAGAGATCAGCCGACAATCGGTGAGTTTAAATCATTTTTTAAAATTAACATTTGTGTAATATTTGAGGAGTGTGGGAGGGCATCTGACACACGGGGTCTGGGAGCGTGGGAGGGCATCTGACTGTGTGGTCTCTCTCAGACAGATGGAGGACAGGCTGAACTCATCTTCTCGTCCCTCAAACCTGTCGTCGTCTGAAGACTTGAGGAGCGTCTTCACAGAGGAGGTAACACACTCACTCTGACTTTAACACTCACACTTTAACACTTTACACTCACACTTTAACACTCACACTTTAACACTCACACTTTAACACTTTAACACTCACACTTTAACACTGCACTTTAACACTCTAACACTTTAACACTCACACTTAACACTTTAACACTCACACTTTAACACTCACACTTTAACACTTTAACACTCACACTTTAACACTTTAACACTTTAACATTCACACTTTAACACTTTAACACTTTAACACTCGCACTTTAACACTCACACTTTAACACTCACACTTTAACACTTTAACACTCGCACTTTAACACTCACACTTTAACACTCACACTTTAACACTCACACTTTAACACTCACACTTTAACACTTTAACACTCGCACTTTAACACACTCACACTTTAACACTCACACTTTAACACTAACACCACACTTTAACACTCTAACACTTTAACACTCACTTTAACACTCACACTTTAACACTCACACTTTAACACTCACACTTTAACACTCACACTTTAACACTTTAACACTCACACTTGAACACTCGCACTTTAACACTCACACTTTTAACACTCGACACTTTAACACACTTTAACACTCTTTAACACTCGCACTTTAACACTCACACTTTAACACTCGCACTTTAACACTCACACTTTAACACTCGCACTTTAACACTCACACACTTTAACACTCACACTTTAACACTTTCACACTTTCCACACTTTAACACTCACACTTTCACACACACTTAACACTTTAACACTCACACTTTAACACTCACACTTTAACACTCGCACTTTAACACTCACACACTTTAACACTCACACTTTAACACTCACACTTTAACACACTTTAACACTTTAACACACTTTAACACTCACACTTTAACACTCACACTTTACACTTACACTTTAACACTCACACTTTAACACTCACTTTACACTTTAACACTCACACTTAACACTCGCACTTTAACACTCACACTTTGAACACTTTAACACTCGCACTTTAACACTCACACTTTAACACTTTAACACTCGCACTTTAACACTCGCACTTTAACACTCACACTTTAACACTCACACTTTAACACTCGCACTTTAACACTCACACTTGAACACTCGCACTTTAACACTCGCACTTAATATTATTTATTTATTTGAGACAGTCACTCACACTTGAACACTCGCACTTTAACACTCACACTTTAACACTCACACTTGAACACTCGCACTTTAACACTCACACTTTGAACACTTTAACACTCGCACTTTAACACTCGCACTTTAACACTCACACTTGAACACTTGAACACTCGCACTTTAACACTCACACTTAACACTTTAAACACTTGAACACTTAACACTCGCACTTTAACACTCACACTTTTACACTTAACACTTGAACACTTGAACACTCGCACTTTAACACTCGCACTTTAACACTCGCACTTTAACACTCGCACTTTAACACTCACACTTGAACACTTGAACACTCGCACTTTAACACTCACACTTGAACACTTTAACACTCACACTTTAACACTCGCACTTTAACACTCACACTTTAACACTCACACTTGAACACTTGAACACTCGCACTTTAACACTTTAACACTCGCACTTTAACACTCGCACTTTAACACTACTTTAACACTCACACTTTAACACTTTAACACTCGCACTTTAACACTCACACTTTAACACTTTAACACTCACACTTGAACACTTTAACACTCACACTTTAACACTTCACACTTTAACACTCACACTTTAACACTCACACTTTAACACTCACACTTTAACACTCTGACTTTAACACTCACACTTTAACACTCACACTTTAACACTCTGACTTTAACACTCACACTTTAACACTCGCACTTTAACACTCGCACTGTAACACACACACTTTCACCACCTTTCATTTACAACACCACGTTTACAGAGGAAACCAGGTCTAGAACAGGACTAATCCAGGTCTAGAACAGGTCTAAACCAGGTCTAAACCAGGTCTAAACCAGGTCTATGTCTACGTTTACGGCGCCTCCCAGTGGACACAGGGACTATTTAAAAATATAAACTCTATAAAATATACACACATATATTTGTGAGCTGTTCTCAGGGAGTGTTGTTCTCAGTAAATCTGACAGTGTCACTGCTGCATGACACCACCAGAGTTAATCTAAACTAAACTCAGAAGAATCTGAGTTGATTTTAAAATACTTTAGATGAGGAGAGTCAAACTCAAATTCAC